ACAAAACAACTGGGAAGTCTTATTAAGTCCAAGTGTTGACTATTTTAAAAACTGAGATATCATTCACATCCCATGAAATTCATCCTTTTGAAGTGTAGAGTTCAGTGATTTGTGATAGTATATTCACGAGGTTATGCAACCATCTCTGCTAATTCCAGAACATTTTTATCACTCTGAAAAGAAAGCTTGTGTCCATCAGCAGTTGCTCCCCATTACCCCACCACCCACATTCCTGGCAACTACTGTGTTCTGTCTCTACGAATTTGCCTGTTCTGGGTATTTCACATGAATAGAATCATCCACTGTGATCTTTTGTGTCTGGCTTCTTGTACTTAGCACAGTGTTTCCAAGGTTCACCCACGTTGTAGCACGTATCCGTATTCCCTTTTTGTTCCATTGTATGGGAATATCCATTTCTTTATCCATTTATCAGTTAATGGGCTGTTCTCATTTTTTGACTATTATGAATGATGCTGTTATGAAAATTCATGTGCAAAGTTTTGTGTGAATATGTTTTCAGCTCTCTTGGGTATATACCCCGGAGTGGGATTGCTGGGTCACATGGTAGCTCTATGTTTAACGTTTTGAGGAACTGCCAAACTGTTTTCCACAGCAGCAACTCCCTTTTGTATTCCCAGCAGCCGGCCTTGCTCCCTGCCGGAAGGGAGGCCACCGTGCTACCCACTGCAAAGGAAGACAAGTCCCGAGGTCTCACTGGGCCTTGCTCAAAACCACCCAGGTCTTCATTCTAGTTTCACAGGAGGTCAGCATAGGACTCTCTCCCTTTTCTGAGGAGTCCCCAAGACAACGGATGCCAACTACTCCCACATCCAGCAGCGAGTGACACCCACTAAGCAGGGTTTGTGGTGGAGACAGCAGAGAACTGTGGTTCAGCGCCTGAGCTTACGGCCCACTCGAGGCCAGTAAAGGAAGCTGGAGAGGCCACAAGAAGGGCTGGCGTTAAGGAGAGGAAGAGTTAGCACTAGGGCCACTGTAACAAAACACACAGGCTGGGGGGCTTAAACATCAGAAACTCACTGTCTCACAGTTCTGGAGGCTGGGAGCCCAAGACTGAGGTGCTGGCAGGGTTGGTCCCTTCTGAGGGCTGTGAGGGACAGCTTGGTTCCAGGCCTCTCTCCACCGTGTGCACGGCCACCCTCTCGCTGCCTCTTCACGCAACCATCCTTCTGTGGGTGCACAGCCCCGGCACCCACATTTTCTCTTCTTACAAGGACACCATCAGGTTGCATCAGGGCCTGCCCTAATGGCCTCATTTTAACTTAATTACCTCTTTAAAGGGTCTGTCTCCAAATACAGTCACTGGGGCTCAGGACATCCACATGTGAATTTTGGGGGGACACATTCAGCCTATATAAGTTGGCACATCCCTCTGTCTGTCAGGGGAAGGACAGGTGAGAGAGCCCTGTGATGGGAATGGAGGAGGCAGGAGGAAGAAAGGAGTTTTATTTCAAAGATCCATCAAGGACACCCCAAGACAGAGTCAGCACCAGGCAGGGAACCCAGCCCCAGGTACATCCAGGTCAGTGATGGCAGAGCCTCCCTCCCCCTGCTTCAGGGTGGAGGAGTTGGAAACTGTTGAAGGAACACCAGGCAGGGAAATAGCAAAGAGGTGACCACATCCCCACATCCCTTTGCCAGCTGCCCACTTCCCACTGGCAGCTGTGCAGGCAAAAGCTTTAACTTTAATCGGAGTCTGAATAACACAGAGGCTGGGCTCTTTAATGGCTAAAATGTGATTAGCTCTTGTGATTAGATCAACAGAAGATTTTTTTTTTTTATTATCTGAGGGTGCCTGGAAAAGTTAGGGTGTCAATCCTAGAATTCATCCAAGGATGTCGGAAGAACTGACCTCTAGAGGGGCTTGAACAGGTGCTGGTGGGCAGGTGCTAGTGGTAGGAAGTACCAAGTAGTTTTCCAACTGCTTCTTGTGGGTTAATTCATTCTGCTGGTTCAATGCACCCATGCACTAGCCAAGAGGTAAAATCTGCTTCCTTGATGAGCATGGGAGAATCTGTTAGACTCCAGAATGATCTTGAAAAGTGGCCAGGAAGATATAAAACATGCATGCAACAAAAGTCCTAGGGAGGTGTGGGGACAAGCCTGCCCATCAAGCACTGGGAGATCTGGTGGCCTCAGTCAGACCCGCTCCAGGCAGTGCCTTCAGGTGGGGCAGAGAGGCCAAAGCTCTAGGTCCACTCTGGGTATGGCAGCCTCTGAGCAGGGAGCACAGGGACAGGGAAGGAAGGCAGAAGGAAGCTGCCACCACATTTCTGGAACACCTTTGTTCTTCTGTTTACTCAGGCTGCTGTGTCTTGGGGAAATGCACATTACGTATATAAAATGCTCCAGCTTGGTGGTGGTGAGAGCATCTGAACGCCAGCCCAATAACACTGGTATGGACCTTGGCTCCTGGAGAACAGGGACTGAGAATGGGCAGGGACTTGGCTGGCAGTAAGGGCTCATGAAGTCATTATGCACTTCATTTAAATGAACTTCAAAAAGTTCATTTATAGGGAATTTATAGTGGATGGTTAATTTAAAAAACACATCTAGGCCAAAATTTTGCAAAAGAAGGACAAAGTTGGAGGACCCACATTTCCCGATTTCAGATATTACTACAAAGTTACAGTAATCAGGACAGTGTGGTACTGTCACATAGAGATCACTGGAATGGAATTTAGAGTCCAGAAATAAACTCTTGAGAGTGGTCAGTTGATTTGGACAAGGATGCCAGGACAAGTCAATGGGGAAAGAATAGTCTTTAACAAATGCTTCGGAGACAACTGGATATCCACATGCAAAAGAACGAAGGTGGATGCTTTTCTCACACCATGCACAAACATTAACTTAAAATGAACCATAGAGCTAAACTGTGGAGCTAAAACTTTAAAACTCCTTGAAGAGACTATAGAAGCAGATCTTCATGACCTCGGATTAAACACAAAAGCCTAAGACACAAAATTTCAAATAGGTAAATTAGACCATCAAAACTAACAACTTTGACACAACAAAGGACACTATCAAGAAAGTTAAAAGATACCCCACAGAATGGGAGAAAATATTTACAGATCATATATCTGATGAGGATCTTGCATCCAGAACAAATAAAAACCCTAATAATTTAATAATAAAAAGAAAACCCGATTTAAAAAATAGGCAAATGATTTGAATAGATATTTCCTTAAGGAAGATATAAAAATGGCCAATAAGCAAATAGAAGGATGCTCAACATCATTGGTTGTTAGGAAAATGCAAATCAAAGCCACAGTGCAATACCATTTCACATCAGGACGACTATAATAAAAATGATGGACGAAAACAAGTGTTGGCAAACTTGTTCCAACGTGAAGAAATTGGAACCCTCAGACATTGCTGGTGCTAATGTATCATGGTGCTCCTCCTGTGAAAAACAGTTTGGCAGTTCCTCAAAAAATTAAACATATATGACCCAACAATTCCACATCTAGGTATATACCCAAAAGGATTGAAAACGTATCTTCACACAAAAGTTTGTGCTGTGTAGGTTCATACTACTATTATTTACAATAGCCAAAAAGTGGAAAAAAAAAACCAATGTCCATCATTTGATGAATAATCAAAACACAGTCCATCCATCCAATGAAATATATAAGCCATAAATAAAAGTGAAGTGCTAATACCTGCTACAACATGGATGAACCTTGAAAACATGTTAAGTGAAAGAAGAAAAACATAAAAGGCCACATGTTGTAAGATTCCATTTATATGGAAGAAATGTCTAGAATAGACAAACTCATAGAGACAGAAACTAGATTACTGGTTGCCAGGGGCTGAGGGAAGGAAGCATAGGGCATGACTTTTAATGGGTACAGGGTTGCTTTTTAGGCTGATGAAAATGTTCTGGAATTAGATTGAGGTGATGGTTATATAATCTTGTGACTCTACATTTTAGAGGATGAATTTTATGGTTTGTGAATACTTCAATTCTAAAAATGTAACGAGTGAAACTAAATATCTATCAATAGAGAATGTTAAATAAACTATGGTCGATTGTACTATAGAGACATTGAGCAGACGTTTCAAACAATGAAGTAGATCTTTATGTGTCAATATTTAAAAATGCCCCACACTTACTACTATAAATGATATCAGCAAGTTTCAGAACACAGAACAGCATATATAATGTGACCTGATTTGTATTAAACGCACACACAACACACAGACATAAAATGATTATATACAGATGAACCTAATTGACAAGAGTGAATCTCTTTGGGTAAAACTAGGTGGGAATTAAGGGGAACTCTTATCTAATCATATTGTGCACCTTTTTATAAATAACAAGAATGCATTCTTTTATTACTTGCTTGATTGAAAATAAATTTTAAAAAGGGGGAAAATAAATGCAGTAAATTAAAAATGACTTAAGTTAGCCTTTAGCATTGAATATGTTAAATGTTTATCTGCTGTTTGTGTTTGAACCATGTCACATAGTAACAGCTTATGTGCACTGCTTTACAGTAAACAAGGCTTTGGCATGTAAAAAAACCAAAACCAAAAACCCTTAATAAGAAATTCCAGGCTCTGTCATAGGTTCTTTTTCACTCTAAAATGACTGTTGTGTGTGTGTATATTTCTTTTTTTTTTATTTCTAAATTTCAGAATATTGTGTGGGTACAAACATTTTGGTTACATATATTGCCTTTGCACTGCCCAAGCCAGAGCTACAAGCATGCCCATCCCACAGAGAGTGCAGAAAATAATATGGAGATACCTCAAAGAACTAGTGACGCTTAACGTTTCCTTCCAAGAGCATTCTCAAATTGGTACCTCTTTCTTTTAAACACTGTTGTCTGTCTTAGTAATTTGGGTGGGTTCATACTTTTGTAGGGGAAAAGGTAGTTTATTTCATGACTAGTTGACTATAAAACAAAATGCTGTTACATGAGAAAAGAGAACATTCTGCTTAACAAGAAGTTCAAGGAAAAGACATTGGGATGTTTTTGAGACAGAGTGATGTTGATTTCAAGATTTATTAAGACATTAGAAAAGTAATTTCACTGATGAATTAATATTTCCCTTTAAATATAAAAGTGCTTATCCTTACAAACCCTTAAGGCTCATTCTGTTACAGTACAGTAAGGTGTTTTCCCCATTCCAGAAACTGTGCTGCATGAGTTTCATGTGAATTATAGAAACAGCAAAATCTCCAAACAGTAAAATATGCAGTCAATGATCCCATCATTTTTATACCTGTAAATTGTAGACTCAGACAGAAATACAAGATCCCCCTGGACAAATTGTTAATATTAGATATGCGCTCCACTCCTTCCTGATATCTTGCCAAAATAATTCACTATCAAATTATTCACGATAATTTGAATTTGCAATCTGATAAATACAATTGTGTGGGAGCAACTTTTATTCTTACATGAGGAGGAAGAGAAAGGGGATTTAACATTTGCACTGCCTTATACAGATATGAACAATCACCAAAGTGAAGACTTTAGGCTCCAGGCGTGCAGACATCTAAGAAGTAGCCTGGGAAATGAGGCTCTGCCCAGAAACAAGAGCGTGGGCCTGCTTAGCGGGGATCCATTGAGATTCCCTTGGAAAAAGTATTCATAAATTTTGAGAAGAAAGGCTGGAGGATGTGGTCATTCCTAAAGCCACTGGTCTTTATTTACTGCTTGGGTTGAGATTTTTATCACATACTCAAAGACACAGATAAGATGTTGATGCTTAATAGAACCCTTATGACTACCTGGATTAAAACAGTGACTATCAAAGCAGATTCTGCACTTTTTCTCCATAACCATATCCAAAATGCACTAACAAGAAGCCCCAAATGAATATCACATAACAAAAATGAACTTGAGCTATTTTAATAGAGAATAACTAGATGAAATATGAAAATGGTATTGGACCTAATACAGCATTTTCATCATTGCTACCATATATGTACATTTTCCACAACATAAATTACTGTACAGAATTGTCCTATTTAAAATCTTCAATTCTTGAAACCATCCTAAGATTGATTCCTGTAATAGGAGAAGACGAAGGCCCTAGAATTTGTTTTTGTGACTGCTAAAGATGGGAAAGTCTCGAGGGAGGCAGGCAGGGCTCCCATGTTGCTGACGGCTTTCCCAAGACCGAGACGCAGAGTTTGAAATGGTGTTTGATGTGACACACTAGGCCTTTGATATCAGAATATTGAATTAGAGTTGCCTCCTCCATGAATAAACCTCCAAGATGACACAGCATACGAAAAATGGTTCAATTTTAAATTCTCTCTCTGGCTGAGGCAAACTTCACGGTAGCAACTTTAAATTTTTACAGAACTATGAAAGCAGTACCCTATTATACTGTAATAGGTGTGTTAGTTCCTTAACATCTTGCCTGAGAAAAGGTGAAGACCAAGCATCCAGCTGATATATCTGCTCCTGCTAATGAACATCATGCTGCTGCTCTAGCATTCTTTACCTAAATACCCGAATTTACATTGGGCAAGGTCTTGTGCTCCTGTGAACGGGCATTATTATTGATTTGGGCTTAAATCAATAATAATGGCAGGATCTTTCAGAATCTCTGGCCCTTGTTCCTCTTTCCTGCAGAAAGATTAGGAAAGGGATTTCCAATGAGTGTGGAAAGACTGAGCATCTCATGACTATTTTGGTTAAGCTCAGAGCACTGATTTAGGGACACAAAGTAGTCACACTAGCCCTGCATTTAAATAGGAGAAATATAAGAACTAAAAATTTCAATCCATCATTTAGAGCTTTGACCTAGTGGTATGAAACATCCACATCATTGGTTGGATTTCCAGTCTTTGTCTGGATGTTTTGGGTTAGCATGTTCAGTGTCTGGTGGGGTAAGCACAAAAATCAGTGAGCTCATATGTTGATTTTCCTCTCTCTTGGTACAGTAAGGTTTTGCCTACAATTAAATGATTATGTTGAGGCGAGCACCTAACCCACTAGAGGAAAAAAAATGATCCCTTTTCTCTAGAGAGGTTTCCTCTTTCCCTAAGTTCATGCATGACATACCCAAGTCCCTTATGACAGATCCCCTTTCTCAGGGACAAACCTCCCAGAGCAGCTGTCCTTTAACCACTACCCCACTCCAAAAAAAAAAAAAAAAAAATCATCAAAGGCACCAGATTCACCTGAAGAGGACTCAGCCTCCCGGCATCCAAAGGAAAACCAGGAGAGCACAGGGAAGGAGACTGTGCCATGGGCCCCTGGCTCTATGGGGACGTTTGAGGCATGGTGTTCAGTAGGCAAGTCATTTTCTCATGGAAGATGGCAGACACTGGAAGCTTGACCCAATGTTGCTTCTTCCCCTTTCCATCAGGATAGACCCTGATTTCTTATGGCTTGACAAGGAGGGTGGGACTGTACCACCAACAGCGGGGTAGTTGGCACCTTCCATTGAAGCTTTTAGAGCTCTGCCCACAACCAGGAAGGACTCAGAGTGGTGGCCACACAGGGGGAGGAGTTCCCTCACCATCGTCTGCCCTGGCTGTTCCTGTCACCCTCCCGATTCAGGATGGGGAGGGGGAGGGTGCTGTGGCTACCCTGCTGTCACCCTCTCGGTCCTCTAGATCCTAGGCAGATCTAGGCCCTAGAAGAAAGTACCATCTCCCACATCGTACACCTGTGCATCCAGGTGCCTACAGACGTAGTGCATTTCCTTTGCCTTTGTTCTTACGGTAATGCTTAAACTCTGCTGAGTGACAACTGTGCATCTCAAAATGCTGGCCCAAGTCTGTTGACCCTCATACTTGCTCAGTAAAGTAGTTGATGGGTACAGTTACACTTAACATAAATGAGACTGAGGCATGGAGAGAAGCTTTGTTCAAGGATCAGGTGTGGCAGGGCAAAGGAAGAGAGTGTTCCGGTACCCAGTTGTGGTTCTGATGGCTTAGCCCCAACACCAGTGAGCTCTTGTATTGAAGTTTTGTTTCTTTAAAGCCCCCACTGTCTCTAATTACTGTTCTACTAAACAGTCAAGACAGTAAATCTGACTTACAGAACTTAGAAGGAAAAACCCCTAAAGGAACAAGAAATTCAACTCAGCTCACAGAGGACATTTTGGGTTGGTTGGAAACCCTGAGAACTTCAGCGGATTAATAATGTTTGCAAATTACTCAAAAGAAAGTGTCAATGTTGTTATGTTACTACTTAAATAGGCTTCAGTGATAGCTGGTGATACTCTGAAAGTGTCTACAACCAAATATCAGCGTGATATACGCTCGGAATTATTGACATCTTAACTACATGGCTGTATTTTAGGCTTTGTAATCACACATGCCATGGGATGAAGGTAATATCGGAGACTCGAAAACTGTTCTTTAAAAAGTCAAATACCTTTGGCTACTGTGGATGGAATGCTGTTCAATCAAGTAGTGCACACTTTTCGATGTTAAGTTTTTTCTCTTTGCTTATAGGGGCATCTAGAAATAAAGGGATCAAAAATACTGGGCGAAAATCAGTTTTGTTTTATGAAAGACTGAAGCCTTGAAGAACAACAAGGAAACTAGAATATCATAATTATTTTTATAACCCAACAGTGCTGTCTGAAAATCCTAAACATTGGTGCTATTTTACATCATGTCTGGATACAATATTTCCTGATGAGCTTTTCCTATTTTAAAAATGGGTAAAAAACCAGAAGCTTGATTCAGCTTCTCAGGCCTCATCAATACTTCCTGATGCTTAAAGACAAATGCTGATCCTTGTGTTGACTTGCAATTAGTGCCTTGAATTCATCCCTCAGATCAATGTCTTTAAAATTGGCTGCAAGAGGTGGATTTTCAAAGTAATGCACAGAGATTTAATCCCCTTGGTTCCCATTACTGTGAGTAAGAGCTGTGAATCTAAATCCCCTTGCAGCTGACCCAAAATTTACCCCCTGCTGCCTCAGAGTGCCAATTAAATAATAAAAACCAAAACCGTGGTCAGATGTAATTAGTTTGAGAACAGAGTTTATAATTTTCCTCATGCCAAGCAAACAAGTTAACCCCTTTGGTGACATACACAGAATTATTTGGACAAAGAGAACACAAGTCTTAAGTCTGAACACTTCTTGTGCTATTTGCCAGGAGGCTGTAATATTGAAAAACTGTGCTCTTCTGAGAACGGGAAAAAGAAATAAACTCTGGCTCCAAATTGTTGGAAATGCAGTTCATGTGATCAGGTTTTTTCCTCACCTTCTTTCATTATTAAAAAAAGAAAAATGTCCTTCAAGACTTCAGTCAATCCATGTTTCTTCTTAGGGTGTTACTTTTTAAAAATATGATTCTGGTAGGAACAGACTTCAGCTGTGTAGCAGGCAAAGCTGCAAAAGAGAAAACTCTTGAAAGGCTGCTGGGCGTGTCTTAGCCCAAACCAGCTCTGAAAGAGTATCAAGCTTTGTGGTTCCCGAAGCAAGCAAGGCCACATCCCCCAGCCCGGCGTCTTTGGGATGAAGTGTTCTCCATGGTGACCAGAGCCAGGGTTCTTCTGCTCGCCTCTGCTTGGGTTAACAAGGACGCAGCTGAACTGTCCATCAGGAAACAAACCCTTTCTGCATTTTTCTCTATAGATACACGTGAATTGTCTAAGATGGTACAGTGGGAAAAAGACAAAGGATCTTTGAATGTAAAAATACGGGATAATTGTTGTTTCTGTTGCTGTTTCCACTTATTTAGGTCTGTTTGGGGAGGAGGAGAAGGAAAAGGGTGGGGGATAAGGCTAAAAATGAGGTTAACAAAAAACATAGGAGGATATATTATGTCAAGCAACTGGGTCTAACATTTCTATCTTCTTTAGTTCAAAATTCCCTTATTTTACACAACCAAATATTGCAAATATGATTCCAGCATGTTGGTTTGAGTTGGAAAGGCCTGGCACACAAGTCAGAGAATTAACTTGTGACCTTCAAGAACATTGAGCAAAACAGTATCCCAGGGCCACTGGCTGAACAGAAATCCATGTAACCCTCAAGATGAACTTCTCAAGCTTCCTTTTCAGCCTTCTTGGGGATACTGGACAGTGTGTGTGCATGTATCAGGAAATGGGTAAGACAAGTAGCAAACTCTTGTTATAATGAAGATAAACATAATTTTTCCCCACGAAAAATATCAGATTTAAATGATAATCTGTGAGAGCTAGACTGAAAACATTCATGAAATAAAAAGGTTGCTTCTAAAGAGACTATAAACTGGGAACTGGAATATTGACTTGAACGTATTTTGATTCTAAAGTTTCCTTGTAAAAATATTCACAGAAATTGGTGGACATTTTTTAGGTACAACTCAATTTCTCTCATTTACAACATAAGTCATTTAATGTAACATTTGCGACCTTAGAAAGGCAGACATATTTAATCCAAGTCTGTTTATAAATTCCAATTTCACATGGATTAAAAACTGCAGATAAATTAAGTCACAATAATATCCTGTACATGCATTAAGGCTGGTGACTGCTAAAGTCTCTTGGGTATCTACAAACAGGAAATCACACGCAGATTACTGGGTCTGAAGAATGTCTACATCATTAAAAAAATCTTGCTTTTTTTTTTTTTTTTGGTGATACAGATTTCAACAGTAACTCTGGAAAACTGTGAAAAATGTTATTTAAAAATATATATGTATATGCTACTGCACAGTTTCAAAGATGTGATTCATAAATAATGTTGGCTGCACTGATTAATTTTATAACAATTACTGCACTTCCAAGGTGATGCGAACACGCAGTGATTTATACTCAATATTAGGCACTAGTAATATCCTTCAGGCGTACTACAGTTTTATGTTAGCTGTATTGTACATATATATTTTTAAATGTATGCATTTATACAAACTGTGTATATTATGTATGGGGTGTCAGAAATGTACACATCACTGTTATATAATACACACATTGTTGTACATATTAGGATAAGTTTTAGTGCAGAAAGTCTTGTTGCATTGCATTCCATGTGTTCACTCTAGTACACAATTTGTCAACTCTTCAGATTATTTTTCCAGTACATTCCTTTTTAGATAGTGGGCCCAAGTTTCCATTTGCAATTTGAAAGTTTCCAGAAATGTCTATTTCAACCAAACCTCTCTCTCCAGGCACAATTCTGCACATGAGTCTGATCTGTGTAGAGCAGTAACAAAGGCCAAATTTTGATCAGGAATACGTATGGGCTACTCTCTCTCAAAGATAATTTAACATTGTGATAAAGGATGGCACTCATTCAAGTCATGGGAGGATAAGGTCAGCTGAACTTGTGTTGAACTTCTGAGGAAAGAATGTCTTCAAATGGAAAGAAGTGGTAATAAAAATATTATGTTTAAATTCTAGAGTTGCTGGAAGGATATACATCAAACCGTAAGCGGTGGTTGTCCCAGGGGGATGGGACAACCAGGGACTTACACTTTCTACATTTCTGTATTTTTTGAATTTTTACAATGAGCAGGTATTACTTTTATAATCAAGAGAACACAAGAAAGAGATTTCAACTTGGAACAGAACTAAAAAAAAAGGAACAGTTTTGAATAACTTTCATAGACAAGAATCAGAAGATGGTTCTTTACCAAACTCATCTGCACCAAACCCGAGAGAGACTGCTGCCCTGATGTGCTTCATGGATGAAATGAGACACAGTGGTAGAAAATGCATGCTCCAACCATCCCCTAGACTGACCAGTTTTAAGAAATTTTGTTGGGAAACATGGGTCATCAGAGTGCTGATGAAACGCTGCTGGTATAACCACCGGAAGCCACCTGGTAGATGGGGCTTTCCGGGAATGCCACAATAAAGCCTGCAACCTTAAAGAGGGGTAAGACCAGAGAAGCTCCCTGGGGGAGCAGAACAGGCCCCCAAGGTCATCCCTTTATGTGAGTCTTTGAATATTTCATCAGAACTCATTAAGAGTAAAAGCAGAACAAAGTCTCAGTCCTGCAAAAAAAAAAAAAAAGATTCAAAATTTCTTAAGTTAGGTTCAAATTTCCAATATAGGATGGGATCACGAATGCTGCCCACAATTAGTGAAAGACACATAAGAAGCACCTCAGTTGGATAAATGTAAAATGGAAATACTGTTAGTATTTCCAAATGCTTGAAGGCTAAAGCCAAATGCAAATTTCACAAGCCCTTCACTTGCTCATTTTCAATTAACTTCAAATCACCAAAGTTGTTCAGTCATTTGCACAGTTTTGAATCAATGCTTAGAGCTGGGGAGTTACAGCGATCTTATTTCCCACCTACAGATCGGGCTGACAAAAACGTTAACACTGCAACCCAACCTACAACACCAGTGAAAGCATCTGTCAGCATCTATCGTAAATATTCTGTGCCACCATCACCTTGAAAAAATGGATTGCTCCACATATCGCATCACCTTTTTTGGACCATCCTGGTGCAATTTTGTCAACTAAGAGGCCTGAAGGACATTATTTTTGTTTTTAAAATGTGGCAAGATAGACCCCTTTTTACAGGAGTTGGTTTCCTTTTACCAACATTTCATATACAAATATTAATATATTTAACAAAAAGACTAAATCTAGGGCATGATACAACACTATAAAAGAAATAAACTTCAGACAAAAACTGTAAACGAGATGTCAACAAACTAAAATGTAAACTTAATTAAAAAAAAAGAAAAGAAAAGAAAAATCATGAGCAAGATGTAAACATACCAGAGGCACAAGACATAAGCAAGGTGCTCTGGCTGTTGCGACCCCACACAGAATGGTAATCACTGCAGGAGTAACTTCCCCTGTGTTGTAAGCAGCTTGCTAATCAAAGCCAGAAAAGTATCCCCCAAACCAAAATGCATCCAAGGCCTGCAGTGGCACATTCTGTATGAGGGGTGAGAGAATCAGAGAACATTATATAATAATAGCAACTAGCTCTTAGCCTGATAAGCAACAGATACAGACTCCTAACGAAGGGACATTCTAGGTAATGTCCTCATTTGGCCAAGAAAACTTGTAAGCAAGCTATCATGGAAAGAAAAGACTTGAAACATATTGTCTGACAAATGCCACGTGGCTCTATAGCCACCAAGTCACAGTGGCAGGAAGAAGAAATGCATGTGCCTGGTGGGCTTGTTGTCACAGATGCAAAAAACTTCAGTGCCTAACTGAGCTCCAAAACACAGTCATCACTGCTTTAATGTTTGTTAACTTTTCAAAGACACTGAATTTTTTTTTTACCAAATCTCAATGCCATTTTCATAGTATTTGTGGGTAGAGCAGGAGAGGGTAGAGTGTGGGGGAGTCGATCCATTTGCTTGAAATGTGTTTCATTGATAATAAAGTCAGATGAAGGGAGGGTAAGAGAAGAAGGGCAGGGTATTTGGTAACATGTAATCTAGTAAACGTCTGGCACAAAAATAACTGACTTATTTTTGTTATTCAGTTACCCATGAATACATATCAATCAAAAAATAATTGGGGCATATTAATTAATACTGAAAGTAATCAATAGGATAAGAGCTGGGTTCCTCTGAACTGGCAGTCAAGCTTTTGGTGTGCTGTATTGCACCTGGTTAACTAACCCATGAGATTTTGGTTGAATTTTCTAAGAAGTCATAGTTTAGCATTAGAATAGAAAGTGTGTGTCTGTGATTGTGTGTGTGTATGTGTGCGTGTGTACATGTGTACTTCCTCTAATCAGGAACCTCCAATCACTTGGTCTAGCCTGGAGTTACGGAAACTAGACAAGGCGAATGTGTTCTGAAGAGCTGCCTGTCTCACACACATACACAGGCAGCTTCTCACACACCCACACATACAAACACACAGGCCCTGGGAAAAGACCACTGAGGAAATGTTCACCGCAGTTTGATAAACGCTGTGGCTGGGAATGTCAGTAGCACAGTGTCCAGAAACATTGAGCCGTTGTGGAGACGAGAGCACAGGCCGGCTCAAGGGCGAGGTCCCTATGGCAGGTGGGCGCTGTTCCGCAGCCAGTGCAGGCCCTGCTGGGAGTACTGGACCAGGTGCTCCATGCTGCTGTGCAGGGTGACGGGCCCCATGAGCAGATCCAGGTCATTGAAGAATTCTAGGGGACAGAGAGGGTTGTTAAGAATGCCACACATGCTAGGTGTGCTACCCTGCGCAACCTGAGTGACTTAAAAAGTTCCATTAATGGTCTCTATATACATCAAAGATTCTCTCTTCTAACATGTGACTTTAGCATTTCCTTGAACAAAATAAAGCGCAAGGGTGGGGAACTTGCCCTGTATCCTAATAACTAAATACACTATATTCATTTCTAATTCAAATGAATAGCATTTGCTTAGCCAAATAGCAAAGACAATCCACATCCTCAGACTGCACTCTCCTAGCGCATAAGGCTTCCCACTCCGAACGTCAAGTTGGCTCTGTCGTCTCTAATCCTGCACTCAATTCTGGCGTGTGGCTGAGCCCCTGGAGTGAATCCAAGGGGTGAGGGTCCAGGCTCTAAGGACGAATCAAAGATGGGTCCTGATACATCTCTTCTGAAGTCACCTTTAGCTTTTGGACCTTCTCTGGGTTTGCCCTTTCATCAAACGTTTATGATGTACCAAGACACTCTGCTAGTTGTAGGGTGTGGAGGTTGGGGATGACACCAAGATGAATCATGAGTGGGCTCTGCTCTCTCAAAAAGATCACAGTTTAGTGGCTGTGAATTTATTTAGAGACAAATAAATTCATATGGCTACTCTCTTATCATAGCTCATCACTGAGTAACACTTCTTGGAAGTAAGTGTTTGGGAGAAGTTTCTGGAAGGTGCTCACATACATGCTGAACGAAGCCCTGCTGGGGATGGGAAGCAGAGGGCCAGGGAAGACTCCAGGTGTCAGGTGGCTAGGAGGTTGGCCACAGCAGGAATCCAGGAGCAGAAAAGAGGAGGAGGAGCTGGTCGGGGTGGGGGATCAATGCCGGGTTTACACTGGACACTTGGCACTGAGCCTTCAGGCATGACACATCCCACAGGGAGCTGGCTGTGCCATCTGGAGCTTGGCCTGCTCAGGGTCTCCAAACTAGACACATATATTTTTATGCTTTGTCCTTTCTGTTCTGTCCACCTGTGACACTTACTCCACCCTATTTCAGCCACTCAACTTCTAAGTGATTTTTCAAAACCTCATTCCATACCAGCTCTTCTAGTGGAGCTTCTCCTGGTGGCTTCTGACCTCCATGGCATTCCCACTGGAATCTCAGGGTGCATGGCCCCTGGGCTGCACATTACGTGCTATCCGGTTTTATTAACAATCTCATGCACTCAGGATTCATCTGTGCCTTACATTCCTCATCTCGTCCTGGACATCCTATCTTTCAAGGCTTATGCTATTGTGGGAACATAATTTGCATTTAATGGCCTGAAAGTGAGCTCAGATTTGCACTCTTACCTGTTGCTGGAGTGACAGTAGTAAATGAGTATAATCTTTCAGGAGAAAAGTTAACATTATCCATAAATATATATAATAATTCATATTTTAAAGGGATCTATACTCATTGACCCCAAAATTCTACTTCTGTAACTCCCTCCTAAGAAAATAATCAGAAATATGAATGAAGATTCATATAGGGATATTTATCACAACACTATTTGTCACTGTGGGAAAAAAACTGGAAGTAACCTAAGTGCCTGGCAATAGGGGAATGGTTTGAGAAATCATGATACTTTATGATTATATAATCATTGTATGATGATAGCATTATATTATAGAGCTACTATAAAGGGTATTTTTGAACTAGTTAGTGATGTGAGAAAATGCCTGATACAATATCAAATGAAAGAAGGATATATAACTGTATGTGCTCTACACTATGATCTTATTTTGGAAAAACAGTGCCTATTGGCAGAAGAAAAGACTAGAAGAAACTTCGGTAGAATGTTAAACAGCAGTTACTTCTTGGCGAAAAGATTTACTAATGATTTAAAAACTCTTTTCCCTACAGTTGTCTGTACTTGACAAATGTAGTCACAGAAAGCACGCATTACTTTTATAATCAGTAAAAGCAAACATTATTTAAAAAAAAAAATAGCTTACTGCTACGTGTACAACACTCTTCTCAGCTGTAAGCAGCTGGCACTTAAAGGGCCAGTAACATTCCCATGCATTCAGTCAAGGTTTCAGAGCCCCCCAGCTGCTTTCTAGGCACTGGGCGAGGTCTGAGGAGTCCACGGTTACTATGGCATGATCCCCGCCTTGGAGGAGCTCACTGTCTGAAGCGCAAACCCGTGTGTGTGTCTGCATCTGCGGCTGTGTCTATCTCACCCGGGCTTCCCAGGGGGGTGTCAGCGCGGGCAGAGGCACTGGGGGCCCGGCGTGCGCGCAGGGGTCGGGAAGGTTCCCGCAGCGGGGGGACAGCTCGCATCTCCCCTCAGAGACACCGTGGAGACCGGCTGGAGGGAGGGCGGCGCACACACCTCGGTTCTCCTTGGCCAGGTTGTCGGCCATCTCCCAGTAGTCGTAGCTGTGCAGGATGCTGTTGGTGATGCTCACGTGGTTGGCCGCCATCTGGTGGATGCGCTGCGGGATGCTGACGATGGTCGACGGGGACAGGGTGGCGCTGGTGCTGGAGAGGCTGCCCTGAGACCCCACGGAGCTGGCGGGAGAGGGGTTGGGAGACATGGGGGATGGGGTTCCAGTGCTCCTGGAAGGGGAGAGGTAGAGAAACCAGAGTGGCGAGGTCGGGAACAGGCGCGCGCGCGGGGCGGCCCCTGGGGCACGCAAGCAAAGCATGCATGGTCCGGCTACGGCTTTCACTTGGGCGAAGCGAACTTACTTTCCACTGGCCCCCCACGGGGATGGGGCTTGGGCAGCTTTAGATGAATTCTGCAGGAAAATAAGAACACCGACAGTGAGTGCCATCTGCTTGAGGTTACACGGCAGACGATGGCGTGTTCTCGGGTGTCTCCGGGAAGACAGAAGGGCAGACGCTGCAGACGAAACTGGGTCTGCAAAGTTCCAAGGACAAGGCTGCTCCCTCTCTGGAAGCTTGTCTGGGACAGCTGCACGGCCTGGGGGGCCCCACAGTGGGCTACAATGAAGGCCTTGCCCCACAGCCTGGGTTTTCATGTACAAATTTTAGGTACCACGTTAAATCATAATCCCAAGGGTCTGTTAAATCCCGAACCAGGCTAATTTTTCCATCATAAACTAGTCTAATTTTTCTGAAAAGGAAAAAAAGCATAGAAACTTGCTTATTCCCCCACCACTCCCAGAACACCTGATATTTAACAGTAGGGCAAATTTGCAGAAACTGTTGACATATATTTACTTAATGCCTGAAAATATATAAAACATCAAATTCTATAATTTTAACTTATTAAAAGCATTTCTTGTAAAGGAAGTTGCTCTTAGATATTCCTAAAAGAATAGATTAAAATATATTTCCTAAACAGACAGGATATTCTCAAATTCTGGTTTACCTGAATATTCTGATTTAGGATGTTATGTTGCATGAACCAGGTATTTGCATCAAGCATTTAAAAGAGGTTTTGTCTTTAGCAAGGAAAGTTTGCTAAATGCACAGTTAGGTTTCCTCTCTGAGAGCCCAATAATGCTTTCTTGGACAGAAGTCTGCAGGACTGTTAGGGAAAGAAACAGTCTTTGTGATGCTGATGGAAATTTTCCCTTACTGAGACAAGAAAATAGCCTCAGCCTGGCTCCCCAGAGACAACGTGTTTCTTTTGGTTAGAAAGAACTTTATGAAGTGGTGACTGATTTTTCTAGTTTCAGTGCAGGTGTTATTAAAATGGCAAGAAATGGCCTGTCAGAACTCAGGGGCACTACAGCAGCAGCAAGGTGTAAATATAAGGATAGAATTACAAACCATACTACTTTTACTTGTCTCAGGGAATGGAATTATTTTCATAGAGAGAATTAGAAAAAGAAAACCTTCTTTAATAGGGGAGCTGATCTTCTCTTTCCTAACACATGTTATTGACACCTTTCTCAATCTGGGTTTCTGGATTGAGCACTTGGTTTCTACTTCATCATGGGATTCTATTAATAAGAATGTGACGTATAGAATAGATGTTCCAAATATAGTAAGAATGCTAAGAGGAGAGAGGGAGAGAGGTTTTGGGGTTGCAGAAACAGTTCAGTTAAAGGTGCTAAAGGGAGAAAGAAGTCTTCTGCCTCTTCCCCTACCACTACATAACAGGACCAAGAAACACTGGTGGGAACAAAGTCCGTTTTTCAAAGACAGCTCTATACTCATTAGACAAATTATCTCTGCTACCCAAAGGTTTCATAATCTCTGAACTTTAAGTTGCATGCATACATTCATTCATTTGTTAATATTTATTTATTTAGAGATAGGGTCTCACTCTGTCACTGAGGCTGGAGTACAGTGGCACAATCATAGCTCACTGCAACCCCAAAATCCTGGGCTCAAGTGATCCTTCTGGCTCAGCTTTCTGAGTTGCTGGGGACTATAGGTGTGTGCTACTGTGCTGGGCTGATTTTTAAATTTTTTGTACGGGTGGGGTCTTACTATGTTGCCCAGGTTGGTCTTGACTTCCTAAATTGCTGGGATTACACATGTGAGCCACCACACTCTGCTTTAAGTAGCATTTAAATGGCCTTTGCAACTTTGTACCTTTTAGATACAAAGTTTCAGTTAGCAGGAATAAATTCTGGAGATCTATTGTACAGCATGGTGGCTATAATTAATAATAATGGATAGTATATTGAGAATCTTTGAGAGTTGATTCTAAATGTTCCCATCACAAAAATGAGGTGATGGATATGCTCATTAGTTTGATTTAATCATTCCACAATGTATACATATATCAAAACATCACATTATATGCCATATATATATATATATATATACACACACACAATCTGTCATTGGTCAATTAAAATTTTTTTTTAAAAACTCCTCTTTGATTAAGTATAAATGCCATTAACTCTTGGAGGGCAAACTAATTTTTAGGTTGTATTCTCTATCCGTTCTGTGTATATTCATGGGCTGCATGTATATATCTTCCTGTATCCCTTAAAAGTTCTGTTGTAACCCCTTGTGGCTCACAGAATTCAGCTTCCCTCTTTTTCCCCCCATATACATACCCATATATATTTATATATATGTACATACATAAGCATAAATAATCAAATACATTGTGGCTATTATTATTTTAAAGAAACTCTTACTGTTAAAGAAAAATAATGTTTTAGTTTCCTTCTTTTTTTTTTTAGACAGAGTCTTACTTTGTTGCCCTGGCTAGAGTACCGTGGCATCAGCTTAGCTCACAGCAACCTCAGACTCCTGGGCTCAAGCAATCCTTCTGCCTCAGCCCCTTGAGTAGCTGGGACTGCAGGCATGCGCCACCATGCCCGGCTAATTTTTTCTAGATATTTTTAGTTGGCCAATTAATTTCTTTCTATTTTTAGTAGAGACGAGGTCTCACTCTTGCTCAGGCTGGTTTCGAACTCCTGACCTCGAGCGATCTACCCACCTCGGCCTCCCAGAGTGCTAGGATTACAGGCGTGAGCCACTGTGCCCGGCCTAGCTTCAATTTTAATTCTAGCATTTTTCTTGATTGGAACCAACTCTCTATTATTAGCTCTTAGATTCCAAATTTCTGAAAACTGCTGATCTTGACTTTAGGTGCCCAAAGGAAAGGGAAGGCTCAGTGCCAGTTGTTGTCATTAGGCCTAGAGAGTGATCTCCTTGGCTCAGCCCCTGGGTACTCTACATGCACAATTAGGAAGGAGGCAGTGTGCTGGACACAGCCCATGGGACCCCCCAACATAGCCTAGTCGCTACGGGTAATCTCCAAGAAGCGAAGGTTGGGGATTAAGGGATCTCAAAATGGCTGTGTATCTGACAAAGCATTGGTGGAGGTAGTGGTGGTATAATTTCTATTTTCTATAGATAAACAGAGAGAGAAGAGGCCCAGAAATATCAAATGAATTATTAACTTCAGGTTGACTTCACAATAGTATATCAGAGAAGGTTTTTAAAAAATTTATTCTCCCAGTGAAAATAGTTTCATACCCTGAGATAAGTAAAGGCTACATGGTTTGCAGTTTTATTCATCTAGTGCCTCTGAGGTCTGACGAGCCATTTCTTACTTACCATGTTAAATAATACCTTGATTAAAAATTAAATTAGCTACTAGAGACTACCTAAGAGGAACTAGCCCTAAGTAGTTACTTCTAAGGGGAAGAAGCTCTAACCAAACATGAAAAATTGATATGAGCTATAAAGATGAATTTCCTAGGACACTGGAATGAGTAACTGGATCTTCTTTCTCTTGAGGCTGTAAAAATATGTAGACATGAAGGCAGAGGAGTAAATTCAATAGACTCTCAAGGCCCTGTTTCTGAGCCCTGAAAGCCACAAGTGTGTCATAAACGGAGTTAGTCTGCAGACCAGAGGTGACCTCTATCTGCCCCAAAGCAATGGGTTCTACCAGGCATCCTCATTCATGCCCTTGACAGGGAGACAATGGAATACAAGGAACAATAACAATGCGCCTCATTCATCAGATGGTACCTTGAAATAGTCGATAAGTGCTTTTGAATACTTCACAGCGTGGTCCCTTTTGAGTCGAAACATCCGCCAGTACAGGAGAGCCAGGCATCGGTAACTGCAGCAGAGAAAAGAGAAAAGGGCCCCAAAGAGCATGAATGTGTCCTTCACAAACAAGACTTAAAAAAAAAAAATCTTGTCTAAGGCACTCAATATTTATAGCATGTTTATAAATCTAAAATCTTTCCATATGTACATACATGTCTGTGAACATTTAACCTTTTTACCCCCAAACAATGTAATTTAAAATTCCAAGAAGATATTCCACAAATATATTTACCACTAGATCATTTTATAATATTAACTTTATCACTTCTTTTTGGGTAACAGGGGCTGGCCGCTTCCTTCTTCCACCACTAGAGGGCAGTCCTTCCCTACGAGAGGAGGGAAGAAACTAGCACACAGCTTTCATGGCTTGCCAGGTGAGCTGCCTTTGCCGAAAGGATCCCCTTACACCTGTTTTTACCAAACTTTTAGTTCACATAAAGTAACAAAAGTGAACATACTTTATAAACAATAAAAACTCCATGTGGATAGCAATTATAATTTTATTATTTTCAATAATATTTTATACTTACATATTCACTTTCTATCTTATACAATATTATTGTCATTAATTGATTATCACAACATGGAACTTAAAATTTGAAAAGAGTACAAAAAGCATTTCTTGAGACTTATCCTCTCTTCCTTGGTGCTCTTCACTCATAATTATTCACTAACGCAGATCTGGGATTGATGTCTAGAATACCAACGTACCAAGCACAACTTACTAGACTATTAGCATATCAAACTCCAGATGACGTGATGATGTGAAGCAACCCAAGACCCTCTCTTTTGTGCATGTAGCTGTTATGTTTTTTGAGACTATTAGATTTTCTAACTTGCGGATCAGGTTCTAGAGTAGAATAGGAACCTTTACAGAACAAGAAGTTTTGAATCCTTTTACATAAGGGACCAACAGAGAGGTGTCCTGGGATTTTGGAAGTGCAGTGAGGTGTCCTGGGAAGAGGCCATGGGGAAAATTATCATTATTATAATCACATAATCGTTATCATTGTAATCATTATAAATACAGAAAACAACTTATATATTGGTTAACATTTTTGAAAGAAATGATTTTATCGTCAAAGTTTAATGAGCTGCTCCTCAGTTTAACGTGTTGAGAACGTTAATATGTCATCTTGCTTCAGTTGTAGTACTCCCATATGTAAAGCAATACATGGATTATTTTGGTTACATCTAGTACATTAAAGACAAGACAAATTCTATTTGGCATAATTCACATTCAAATTGCTGAAACACAGGGCTACCTGATTTTAAAACACACACACACACATACAGAGAAAAATTATCCTCGTGTAACCAATCTGTCGATTTCCAATCACCGCAAACTCAGATGGTGCATGGTACGGCAGCAAGAAGGGGTGGGGAACCTGCAGCCTCAGAGCCACATGTGGCCTTCTGGATCCTTGAGTGCAGCCTTTTGACTGAATCCAAACTTTGCAGAGCAAATCCTTTTAATAAAGGGATTAAAAAACAAATCTTTTGAATAAAGGGATTTGTTCTGTGAAGTCTGGATTCGGTTCAGGGGCTGCACTCGGGGATCTGGAGGGCCACATGTGGCCTTGAGGAGGCGGGTTCCCCACCCCCTGGCCTCTCCCTGGTCATTAGAGCTGCTTTGGGCTTTGTAAGTTAGAAGGCGCTAGGAAAACATGATGCCTTTCAGCACCTGGTTTGCCGGTGGTGACACACATCACTTAGCTGGGGATACCATACTAAGTTGAGATGATGCACTCACCATAACGCAGCCAGTTGTTTATCCTCCGGTGTAGCATTGGGGCCTGAGTGGGTTTTTAGTCTCATAGCATACCTAAAAAAAAATAAAAAATAAAAAAGAGAAAAAAATAAAGAAATTTAAAAAAATGTTTTCTGATTAACAACAGAACCTTTTCTTTGATGGTTGTTATCTCTGCCCACTCCTTAGTTTTTCACAGTGCTTGCTGATAATTCTTCCTTAAAAGCCAGCTGATGCTGCTCCATTTCCCCCAAGCATTACATTACTGTGAAGACTAGACCAAAATGACTTTTATGACTGCCTTGCTACTTTCTGCTCTTTAACAATACAAGTTCAAATGTTACAGATTGTCGGGAGTGATACCTGCTCAAGAACTATTCATGTCTATGGTAACATGTCCATTTCCCCCAAATTTTGATTTATGGCTGAGTGGCAGACAGAAGGAGGCAAAGTTCAATCCTCTGGGCTCACTCCAGAGGAATTTTCATCCCTGATGCTCAGATGAATGCTTAGTCTTATCCCTTATTCTTTGTTATATAACTCTTACTTTGACAGCAGTGTATGTATCCTGGGCACATTTTAAATCTATATTTGCTCCCACAGACATGTATTAGGAGAAACTAGCGGATTTTATGGACTGCACTTAATTCCATTTATTTCTCTAAACCAGGGGGACTGTGGCCATGGCTTTCTCCCTATAGCATATGAAATTACATAGGCAGACTCTTAGAGAGCACTCAGGCAGTATGTATAATGGTCAGAGAGTCCTAGGTTCAAATCCCAGTTCAGCCACTTACTAGTTGTGAGAGCTTAGACAAATGTATTAACACCTTTAAGCCTCCATTTCCTTATTTAAAAAATAAGACTGCCAATCACATAGCATCCTTGTAAGAGTTAACCAAGATAGTATTTGCAAAGCTCTTGGCACAGCTGGTGGTTCCTTATAAATTGCTCAAGAAATGATACCATTAATCATTATACTACCTCTGCAACATGCAGATTGATAGGGTTTTTGAGTGTATCTCTTTGCATAGTTTTCACAGTGGTTGCTCTGGGTATTACAATACACATATAGGACTTGGCACAATTTATTGGTATCAATATTTTCCCACTTGGAGTGAAGTGTGGAAGCCTTACTTCAATTTAAGTGCCTTGTCGTCTCCATTTTTAGATAGCATTGTCTCAAGTATCAGATGGTGGTGTAATTTTTGTTCCAATCATCAACTATGACTTACTAATAAACTCATGAGAATAGTTTATTCTATATATTTATATGTCTGTTTTTTCTTCCTTCCTGATGCCCCCAAATTCCTTCTTTTGTCATTTCCTTTCTGTCTGAGGAACTTCCTTTAGCCAATCTTTAAGGGTGGGTCTGTTAGAGACAAATACTTTTCATTTTCCTTAGTCTGAGAATATTTTTATTTCTTCATTCCTGAAGAGTGGTTTCACTGAGTCTAGAAATCACGGCTTGACACCTCTCTCTCTCTCTCTCACCTGGAAAATGTCAGGCAACTCTGCCTGGCCTCCCTGGTTTCTGATGAGAAGTCTGCTGCCAGGACTTTTTCCCTCTTGTGTTCAGAAATGTAATTATAATTTGTCTTGGTGTGCATTTCCTTGAGTTTATCCTATTTTGGTTTTTCTCAGCTTGAACCTATAGGTTTATGTTTTTTGCTGAATTTGGCAAATTTCAGACATTACTTCTTTAGATACTCTCTCAGTTCCACTCTTTTCTCACTCCTTCTGGGATTCCAACGATACAAATGTTGGATCGTCTATTGTACTCAAGGCTCTTCTTATAGTTTTTTCAGTTTATTTCCTCACTGTTACTCAGATTGGGTACATTATATTTTCTGTCTTCAAATTCATTGATTCTATTCTCTGTCATCTCTGCTGTACTACTGAGTCCATTTTTTTTGTTCTATTATCATATCTTTCAGTTCCATAATTCCCATTTGGTATATATATATATATATATATATATATATATATATATAAAATTTCTATTTTTTTGACAAGATTTTCTATTTTTTTGTTTGTTGCAAGACAATTGTAATTATTTACTGAAGTATTTTTATGATGGCTGCTTTAAAATCCTTGTCATATAATTCCAACGTCTTAATTGTTTTGGTATTGGTGTCAGTTGATCATCTTTTTTTCATTCCAGTTGTGATTTTCTTGGTTCCTGGTATGACAATTGAGCTCCTGGCATATCCTGGACATTTCAACTGTTATATTAGGGGACTGTGGTTCCTACTTAACCACTTTGGGACCAGCGTTGACTGTAGTCGACAGCCACCGATGAACGCGCACAGCGACTTTAGCCGACAGCCGTGATATGACTTTCCTAATTTTTCATTTATCAAAATAAAATTGTGAACATTTAAAAATAATGTAATGAAAACATATATGTATATGTTACCTCTTCTGATATTTACATTACAAGTAAAGCTGCCTGTAAAGTAAAACAAGCTCTCAGTGCTTTAAAGCTTTCCTCATCACACAAGAGCAAAACAGATTCGTCGTCAATGCACAGCACAAACTATCGTGCGGACTATGAGTGCCGGCTGTGGGCAAGGTTTTGCGGCTGGTGAGCACGGTCCTGAAGTGGTTAAGTCCTTTCTTTTAGCAAGCAGTCACCCTCTCTGGGTTTACCAAGCAAGTCCTAGACTACTTCTGGGGCTGTGGTTCCAAGTATAATTTAATTTTCAGAGCCTTCCTGACAGTCTTTTGGTCTGCTTGGTTGATCTGGTGGCACTAGGGCTCCAACTGGTCCCTGACGGTGCTACCTGGGGCAAGGTGGAGGGTGAGAGGAGAGGCTCTCCAGGCTGGGCCCCTGGGTGGCAGTGCTCCACTGACCTTGGCCCTGTGGGGTCCCCTGATGCAGAAAGGCATTCTCCTGCCTGTGAGGACACAGAGCACATCTGGGCTATGCCCTATGGTGGCAAGATCCCCAGTGCCAGTGCTCCTGGCCCCCCAGTGTCTCTCAGTGGGAGAGAGTGATGTCAGGCTAGGTGGGCAATGTGCAGATTTATGTAGCAAATTAATTGCTGATGTTTTCTAACTTAGGTTAAAAAATCCCCACCTCTTTTTATTTTCTGGGTAGTTTAAGGGATTCTCTTCATTCTGAACTATCTAGAAGATGGATTGTGTTCTCCACTGTGCAAAGTTACTTGCATGAGTGGGCACAGTGGGTGTGACACCCCAGTACCCCCAGATGCATCTGACTGGCATCCAGCTTTTCTTATTGTTTGGACTTATTCATTTCAGTTTAAAAATGTGAATGACTTTAAGCAGGTCATGATATTCCAGTTCCCTGCAGGCCCTGTGCCTACTTATTCATTCATTCCTCACATATCTATTGAGCACATACTGTATGCCAGGAAGAACTATTCTAGGGACTAGGGATACATCAATGGACAAATCAGATAAAAAACAAAAAACTCCCTATGCGCAAGGCACTCACATTTCAGAGTATTATATATATTACTGCTTTGTTTCCGCCTAGTTGCACCCACTTTCTTCCCTGCTGCTGTGGGCATCTGAGGCTGTTCTGAGAAAGGAGCATGAGAGGATCTAGGATCTGTTAGACTAATTTTAACAGTTTTTTACTCTATTGTTCTCTTTTCTTCACTGTTGAAAGTACTAGCCCATATAAGAAGAGAGTATAAAGGAATCGCCAATACATTGGTTAGTAGAAATATTTTAATAAGAAAAATGACTAGGTAGTGTTGACTTTCAAAATATTCTCAAGAGATGCTTTTTGTAGGTGATGTGTTCTCTGATGTCAGGATGGCAGTTTCCAAGGCTGGACACTATTTACTGAAGGAGAGTAGTGTAAAATACCAAGGGGCATCTCTGAGCCAGTGTAGACCAAAACAACTATATCCTAAGAAGATTAGAAATCTTCCATGTGGAATGTCAGTATACGGTAAAAAAAACAAACAAAAAAACCCAAAAAAACTAACCTTAGGGTTGCATAGAGTCTCAGAATCAGAAAAGCCATTTACAATTAGTTTGAGGAAGAATTATTTCATATAATGGGTATTAGACATTATCCCAAGCAGTTAAACTGGCAAAAAACATAAAACCATATGATGAAGGTTTGCAGTAGGGTTAATGGATGAAATTTCCTTAATTGTTCATTGAAGAGATGTTAATGAATGTGCCTTTCCAGGTCTCCATTGTGGAACTCCAGGGTCTCCCACTAAACACCTAGAGGTGTCCCTGTCAGAGACCCTACACATCTGCTCATGCCACACGTCTCGGCTCAGACTGGGGGACAGTGCCCATGTCCAGGCTGTGGCCCGGAGCTGCAGGAGCACCCCCTGGATGGTGCACTACAGGATAACTTCTCCTTCCATAAGATCCCCCTGAACCCAATCTTCTTTTCTTTCATCAGTTACTCCTGAATCGTTTACGGATGGAGTTAAAGGTTTAGATTATACTTATCTTATGAGGTGAAATGAGCTCCAAATCTGCCATTTCCTAACTGGAGGAGGCAGGCATGTCTCAGACTCAGCCTCTTCCCTCAGCAATCCAGGGTTACAGGCACTGCCCGGCTTCACTCGCACACACAGCGGAGGAGGCAGAGGGTGCCAAAGCACCTCGTGAAATCTTATGCTCTTATTTTTGGAGGATGACGGTGCAGGCTGACATTCTTTCCTCTGTGTTGAATACTTACACATGCTCCTCACCTCCCCTCACCTCCCAGCAAGAAGACGCAGTGCTCACCTGATGAGTTCTACTGTTTCTGAATACATCATATAAGGAGATTTGGATTCCATGGGGCCTTGTTCCATCGCATTTCCACACTCAATGAATGACAAGGCTGCTTCTGCATAGTTCAAAGCCTTTCCAAACTTTTCCACCTGATCAACAGAATTAATAAGTGACTTTCTTAACCACAGTTTTTTAAGTGGCATTGCCACATAGTTCATATCCTATTTGAGAAAGCCAACTTTTGACTTCCAAAGTCCTGTGAATGAAGCTGGGAGAACAAAGAAATCAGATACTTCCTTCTCTAGTTATTTTCTCAAATTGCTACTGGTTTGGAGTAAGTGAGTAAATGCCTACATACAGAATGGTACCAAACCCATGTGACAACTGCCAATCCACATTACTCAGAACTTCATGGCAGCTCTAATTTCTGTTTCCTTCTTTCTAACCCCTAATGGTTTGGCAACTTGATTCTTTGTCCTTCCATGCTATGCTAAACATCCATCAAAGTTGGATGGCTCTAGGTCATAGTTATTATTTTTTACATTATTGGTGACATTTATACCTCCATGCCTTCCTCTTCTCAATAGTTTTTTTCACTAATAGTTAGGACCTCACTTAAAAGTGAGAGTGAGGAGAAGAGAGGAAATAAAAACCAAGGTGCTATTTCAGCCTTCCCAAAATGGAACACAAAGTTGAAAATTAATAATAAAAATGATTTTTTTGGAATTATCTCCAGTTGTCTGAATTTCTGTTAATCTTTCTCCACATCAGTTAGGATAACCACAAATCAGCTTTATATTCTTAAATTCTCAGACATCTAAATTTACATATTGAGTCCCACACAATTCTAGTCTCTCTAGAAAGTTGCATATTCCAACTTTGGATGGCAAAAATCTCCCCAATTTTCAAGTGACTCACTCATCAATCAAAACATAGAATAATACACATATTCTAAATACTATTCTAAGCCTTGCCACTGAAAAAACAAAAACAAAAAACTTCATTAGTAATGATATCTTAGAAAACAGAAATGTAGAACAAAATTCATTAGCAAATCAAATTTTTAAGCTTCTTATAAACTTAACAGGCTATAAAGCAGTATTTCTTGGCAACACTTTGAGATAAAGGAAGTCATTTTATTCAGTTAAGTATTTCCTAAAGCATCCAATTCTGTGATATGTGCACTTGACAAATAAAAGCTCCTTCCAGGAACATTTAATACATTTAGAGAGAGAAAATGTGGACCTATGAGATGGTTCACAGTGCAAGCCAGTCTGCGATGAACCAACACAAGACAAAGCAAGGAGCCCGGTGCAAATGAGTCGGTGGGAAGGGAGCAAGTGATGGGGCCACAGAGGCTGAGAAGGCTGCAGGGAGGGGACCTGAAAATGATACCAGGAAGGAATCACAGATTTTACCAGATGTAGGGAGGATGCCGAGGGTGTGAATGTGAAGCTCTGCAGGTGCAGAAGCTCTGACGTGTGCTTAGAGGCTAGTGGGAGTCCGGCCTGGCAGGGGCAGAGGATCTGGGAAATGGTCAGCAGGAAAGGTAGGGTTGGGCAAGATGACAATGAATGAAGAAGGCCGTAGACCTTAGGTGATGGATTCAGGCAGAAAATATCATTCTGCTTAAAACTTTGATGCTCTTCTTCAATAGTGGTCATGCATCAGCTTCTTCAGATGACCAGAATCCCCCCATCAGATGTGGGATTGTGTGGACAAGAACTATACCTTCCACTGCTCTTCTCTGTTTTCTGATACTCAGGGAGTTATTCCCCCTGCCCCAGTGTTCCCAGGCAGTGGTCTTCATATGAATAAATGTCTAGTGAACACCATCAGTAGCACTGGAAGAAGGGTACTGTTACGGTTTAAATATCTTCAATATTATGAAAGTCATTTGAAATGCCTTATCCATTTCCAGCACCTGACTCATCTCAGTTATGAACACTGGAGGGGAAGAGAACTGGAATTACTGGGTAGGAAGGGGTCCCTTTAGAGGAGACCTTAAGATGGAAAAACGATATGATCTCTTGTAGAAAAAAAACCCAGAAGTTTTCTATTTCTTGCCTGAGAGCTTCAAGCTTTCCACAATGGGAGATTATCCAAGTAAGAAAAGTTATTCTTTGAAAACATCAAATCATGATGACTTTAGAGTCTTATGTGCAGATAATAGTTTCTGTGTTGTATGGTTTCAGAAGAAGCATTCATTTTGGCAGATACACATGAAGAACACAAGTGTTTTTGGAAAGGGATTTGATCCTGGAACCAAGCCAAGGGTTGGCTAGTCTAACAAGAGAGAAAAATGGAAATCTAGATTTTTTTTTAAAGGAAAAAAATATTACCACCCACTGACTCCACTGGCTCTAGTTACTATTCAAACCTTAGGACTAAATTGAAATATTCATTTATCCAGGCCTTTCTCCCAGTCAGACATTATTGGTTGAAGTCATAATTTATTGGGCTATGAACACTTGATTATATAAACATTTCTCCATTTAACAGACCCAGCCATCCCTGTAATAGATTTTATAATTACCTTAGCTATATTGCCCCAATGATGAAGCTGCAATACAAACATAATTTGGAAGAATATATCTGGAAAGAAAAGGGTATTACCATTGCATCTGCTTTATGCTTCATTCGTTTAGCTTCTTGCATAAAATAATCTGCACTGCGAGGCCTACAAGGAGAGAATGATACTAAGTGTCATTGTTTTTTAAGTGCATGATCTTCTGAAAACATTCTTTCCTTTCACTCAAACTTAAAGCCCAATTTAAAAACTCTGCTTAATGTGGAATTAAGTATTTTTTCACCTTGCCAAATGACTACCTATATGTAAAATACCACGATTATTTTTCTCTTAAGTTAGTAATTCTTAACACACTCAACATATGCTGGTATCTTCATTTATGGTGGTTTTAACATAGTCCCCTAATGCCTAATTTGTGAATCATATTTTTTACTGTATGGTTAAGAAAACAAGTAAAAAAAAATCTCATTTTATATAACATTTACATAAAACAATCCCTTTTTAATGTAAAGATTGTAAATATACCTCATAATAATTGTATGGATATGTATGGGTGAGTATATTTATATAGCCTTATGAAAATAAGTGTCATTTATATGCTTAAGTAGTACCTAGTGTTGTGTATATATATGCTAAATTATTTTAAAGCCTCAAAGTGAAAAATGAAAAAAGGTAACGTATGATTACATTCTAGTTGTAATGAAGTTAACTGTGAAATGATGTCTACTTTGTAACAATGCAAACATGGCATGTATTCTCCAGAGTTTTGATTAGCTAGCTGGTAAACATTAACAGCAGACATGTGCATTATTAAAGCAATAACCCTGGCCACTACTGACTGCCAGGAGAGGAAGGTAATTCATCCAGAGACTGATCTGAGTGTGCATAATGACTCCAAGTTAGACTAAGCTACTCCTCAGACAGTACCTTTAAGTGCTTAGTCTGATAGATTTTTTTAAATTCTACATCCTCTAGGTACCATCAACACAAACTTTATGTAATCGATAAACTTGACCTATTCATGAATATCAGATATATACCAGGACTCCCTGAATGGGAGCTACAACGCAAGCAGTGATATTAATCATGCACTGTTTAACCTATTGCGACATGCTTATTTTGAACTGCCTTATTTCAGATTCTAATGGACCTTTTACCTTACTCTAATATTAGATAGTCAGAGCATTCCTTTCTCCAAAGAGGTCAAAATGCTTAGGAAAACAATGCATATCATGACAATGAGATTGTGGTTTAATCAATCAGGCATATAAACAAACCAACCAGACTCACAGCAAATAATTAGTTTCAGGTAAAAAAAATCACTGCTGTTAGAAAAGGACCTGGTTTTCTGTCTCTTAGTTCTTTATAAAATATTGTTAATACTGCCATGACATTCTGGACTCTTTAACTCCTCCAACGAAGAAACAAGGAACACAGCTCTGGGATTTCCTTAGTGTGCAGAGTGAAACTCCAGCCTCTGGCTCTTCCACTCTTCACTAGTCTTCTCTCCCCTCAGGGCCAGAACCTTCCATTCATCTGGATGGCTCTACCACTGGGGGGTGAAGCCTGAGATCTCCTTCATGGGAAAGACCTGCTCCTCCTGGCTCTCCTTGCTTTTCTTTTTTCTTTCCTTTCTTCCTTTCTTTCCTTCCTTTCTTCTCCCTCCCTCCCTTCTTTTTTTTTTAAACCTGCTCTGCAGTTAGTGGGACCAGCTCTGCTTTCTCTAGTTCATATCCTACATGCCCAAATATCCTCCATTGCAACAGCTTTTCAGTTGCCTTTAAGGATGGTTTTCCTTCTTTGTTCACATATTGACTGTCTATTTGGTCTTTGATTCCAACTCTGGCAATTTACATTATTTGTGTTGTTGCTGCTTGTTTGATTTAATAAACTTTTTTAGAGCAGTTTTAGGTTCATGGCAATGTTGAACAGAAAGTATAGAGAGTTCCCATTTCCTCCACCACCCCAACCCCAGCCTCCATCACTGTCAATATCCTGAACCACAGCGGTGCATCTGTTACCATCAAAGAACCTATATGGACACACCATTACCACCCCAAGTCCACAGTTTACGTTAGGGCTGGCTCTTGGTGCTGGACATTCTGTGGGTTTGGACAAATGAATAATGAAATGTATCTGCAATTATAATTATAATGTTACACAGAGTAGTTTCACTGCCCTAAAGTCCTCTTCATTATTTTTCGTTCGTCCTTTTATTTCATACCCTAACACGGGAGATCAGACCTCACCTCAAGTGCAAGCTCGGATCTGACAAGCCTGGGCTTCAGATAGGCCCCGGAGCCTATTTATTCTAGAGGAGAATTCGGCTGTCTTGATCCACGTCTCCCTTGTTACCAAATGCTATGAATGCTTCTTCGTAAACATTTCTCATTTTTCCCAATGACCATGTCTATCACCCAAGCCAGGGCTCTCCTTACCTCTTTGGTTCCTTGGCCTTTAGTCTGACTCCCTCCAATCCGTCCTGAGCACTACCCTTTGAGCAATGTTTGTAAAACATGTCTTTCACCATGTCGTCATCCAGCTCACAAACCCAAAATCAATCTCTAGGTTCTATGTGACCAAATTTCAGTTCAGGTCCCTAATAGTCTCACTTAACCCTCTTAACCTTATCACTTATTCACCAAGGCCCTGGACCAAAGTCAGGGGTGGTTTCCACAATGTCTTGGTAACATGCCATCCCTGCCTTAGAAGCTCTGCTCATCCTTTGCCCCAGCTGGAGTATTCTCCCCTCTGCTCATTCACTGGGCCCATGATGAGCCCAGTGTCACCACCCCTCAAGTTCTACCACCGTAACACCTTCCAGGTAGCTTTGGTCTATGCTCATCTCTGTCCTTCCTGATCTCACACAGAGCTTCCTGTTTACACAACATTTCTGTGTATTCAGTTACCATCTGAGCTGTACCAGGCTACAGTTATTGCATGTGTGCAACTTGGTGGCTGCTACAGTTCCAGCAGGGACTGATGCTGTAGACCTTTTTGATCTTCCTCACTCCGTAGTTTTAGACACATGGTAGGAGGTAAACAAGTCCCTCTTGAATAGTACTGAATTCATTTTGAGCTTAGAAAACAGTGGTGCCTTCTGATGGGGTACAGCCTCGCAGCCAATGAGCCAGAGAGGGTCTCCATGGCAACCGGAAATTCTCCACATCATTATCTGCTCCACACTCTGGTATATAAGTTTGGTCGTTGTTTCCTTGCCCTGTTTTGTAGACCTTGTCACGAACAGATCATCATTTCAAATGCATCTTGTTTTCGTTAAAGGATTCCTTTGGTAATAAGCTGTGGCATCTTAGTTTTCACCAGGTTTCTGGGTGACCCTTACAGATGGCAGTGGCTCATAATTCCTTACATGGGTTCTTTAATCAATACTGTTTTTATCGGCAGCGTGCACACATATTTTTCTCAACCTGATATGGAGGTTGAGTCACAAACTCTCACCATAGTGCACGCGGATAAGTAACACACCTAATTTTCTAACTATATCACAGCAGCTAGAATAGTAACCCAAGATGCTCATAGAAAAGGTACCATCTGGAGGCCATTTATGAACACATTTGTTAGAATTCTCATCTTTGCATATAATGGAGGGCTCACTATAATGAGTCACTGAAGATTGCCTGAGGATTGGCCCATTTTCTCCTTTCAGGTGATTTCCAGTGGCAGGCTTCCAGATCAGATCATTATAAAGCCAACGGGACCTACGGGACGGGACGTCACCCAGAGCGTCCAGCATCGCCGTGAGTGCATGCTATCACAAAGGCATCCCTTCTGACAGCATTATACAAGTCAGTAGGAAAAGTAAAATCGCTGTCACCACTGTGGCAGTTACAGAATACGATATAGCAAAGGAACTAAAAGGAAAATCTAATTATCTCAATGTTCAAATAGGTTTTTCATCTGATCTTCTATTTTCTTTTTTACATGGAAAACCTAGAATTTTTGTTTTTCATTTATGCAATAAAATCCTTCACATTGTTTGCTTCTCACACTGATGGTATTTTATGATGATAGATGAGCAAACCTAATAAAAGGTCAATTAAACATTAAATGGTGTATCTTGGGCTCTTCAGAAAGGGGGCTTGAGTGATCTAAAAACCAGAGCTTAGCCGCATGCATCTTCGTTGTAAGAGCTCTCTGCAACAAAAGCAATCTGAGCACTTGATCCAAATAAAGTGTTTTCTTTTCTTCTCCTCATCCTCCCACCACCCTCACCTACAAACACATGGCCTTGGTTCTGAGCAGTAACAGGGCTTGAGCGACCCCAATATTTCTTCTGGCACAGGAATATTAAAGCAACCTTGCTTTTTGTTCTCCTTTGTGGCTGAGATAGAGTTGAATGGTCTCCCACAGAGAGGCTGGCAGACTTCTTTCTGTAATTCCTACCTCTGTGAAATGCCGCCCCTCCACAGAGCCAGCCTGTTTTGTGAAAACTGGCAGGGATGAGAGCTCAATGTGTTTGAACAAACAGGTTCCTCGGCACAGCAGAAATTGGATGATTTTCTTAGGGAATTCGAAATCCAAATCAGACAAACAGGCAACTGCATACCAAATGAATTCATCATCTGCTATCCGATATGTCAGCTTGTCATTCCATAAGCCCCAGAGGTGTCACTGTGTCCCAAGCTTTGAGGTACTTTCTCCAAAAGGGAAAAGCTTAGGAAATTAAGGAATTATTTTTAATATGCAGAGTAAGTGATCACTACGGATGGGGGCACTTCAGAGGCAGGGACTCTGGGAAGCTAGTGCTGGCTTTGCGGGCACTTCCCCATGGAAGCAGGTAGACTGCATTTAGACTCAAATACAGCTTTTATGTGCACAACCTTGATGCTGGCTGGGACCAGAGTCCCTGGAGCCTGGCTTTCCAGAAGTACCAGCCGCCATTCATTGTGTTTCTTGCTGGCTATACGCTCCCACACACGGTCGCTTCCCCCTTGGCCACACGCGGAAAGCTGTGTGTGCTTTATGGGACATGCCGGCTAAGCAAGGCAGGTTCTTGTCATTTGATCAAAAGGAACTTTCTGTTGAAATGGAAAATGACCAATGCGATGGTTGTTCTTCTCTGGGCATGACATTTAAAATGAAATAATTTTACAAAACCCTAAAAATGATTGGAGATTTCAATCTGGGAGATCTGAATGTCCTTGACCATCCCCCCCCCCCAAAAAAAACAAAACAAAAAACAACAACAAAAAAACCCTACTCCTTTCTCTTTCTCTCTTTTTGTTTTGGTCAGAACAAAACAAGCACCTGGCCTGGAGACAGGGATTTCATAATGGGAAAAATTCCATATGGAAAAGCAAGACAGGCTTTCTAATGGTTTATCAGGAAAAGGCAAAGGTGGGGGCCCACTTTGAAGTGACTGGGGGTCCCTCAGAAGAACAATGCCCACTGCAGTCCCCCAGGGGGGTGCACCTGGTATCCTCTGCCTAAATCACACTGCCAGATACCCAACGCTTTACCTACGGGAATCTTCCCCTCCTCTATGAAATTAAAATCCTTTTAGCTATGAGACTGCTGTGCATAATTACATTACAAATGTCAAGGCCCTCTTCCTTCCTCCCAGCCATGTTTCATTTGCCACGGCCTTCAGCGACTCCACGGCCAAGGGAGTCTTTCCTCAGCGTTGGGAGGTTTAGGTAGTTGGGCTCCTGTTATCGGCGCCGTGGGGACAGATGGGACGTTCGGTGGTTTGGCTGATCATGACTGGCTCTTCCGCGTGAAATATGGGCAAGAGACAGCACGTCCTCCAGGGAGCAGCCGGCAGCTCTGGCACCGGGGTTTGCTGGCGTCCCAACACAGCAATACGGCTGGCGGCAACAAAGAGCTCGATTCTGCAGCCAAGCATTTTACCACTACGCTCCGTTTGGGACTTCTGTGCCGAGGCCTCCACGACACAGTTGTTCTCTTCTCCATTTTCCCTGGCCAAGAATTCCCTTGTCACTAATTATGACACCAAGTAATTTCAAGTTCGTGGCTTTGCACTAATAAGATTGGTTTCTAGGCTTCAAGTTGAATTAAGTGTTGTCATTCATTGACATAAATTCTTACAGATTTTTTTTTTTAAATGAAAGTTCAGTAACCACACCAGTGTCACTTTAATACTGTGGCTGTCAAGTAGTGAATGTCGTGCATTTGCTAAATGTCAGGGGAGGAGGTGAAGTCACACTGTCACCAGTCTGAGCTTGCATCTTACGAAGAACATGCTGACCTGGATCACATTTTAAAAATAAGTGTTATTCTGTTCAGTTCTGTCTGTATCCCAAAGGCACAAACTGGTGCCTGTTTAATTGGTAAGTAACATAGGAAAAAGGGCTTGAAAGCCCATGAATTTACATTTACGTGCATGTAGATTCCTTGTATTCACAGAAAAAGAAAGGAAAAAATGCAGGCACTCCCCTTGGGAATGTTATTTATAATTCAGCTGGGTTCATTCACCACTTGTTATTGAGAGCCCACTGGATTCAGCTGTTGTCTGAATTGCATGTTTATTCAACCATTAGCAAGTATTTATAATACAAAAAGATGAGTTTACTTTTTTAAAAAAGCTACATGATGCGGCTTTAAAAATTAAATGACAGTGTGGCATCTGTTACTTTTTGGATCAGTATAACTGGATTTCCATCAACTGTAAATTACTCTGGTGCTAATTATCTAGTCCTCTCTTTTATTCCACCGTTGGCCTCTCTTTGGTCATTTCACTGCTGTTGACACCCTTAGAGAAGGTAAGTGACAAAGAAAGTGACAGGAGCTGAGATCCTCCTCTGTCAATGAGGTTGCTGGTGGAGAAGCTGGCACAGAATAGAGGAGGAGGAGGAAGTAAGGAAAAAGCAAGGAGGGGGGACGAAGAGGGAGGGGGAGGAGGGGAAGAAAAATGAAGTTTAGTGGTCCCAGGAAACCTTCCTGGGGAGGCCACCCTTGTGCTTCCCTCTCCTCTGAAGAACTGAGAATTAATTAATCATTATATCTTAGCACTCGTCCCTGTACTTGGCACTTAAGTAAGTGCTCAGCACATACCAACTGAACCTGGGGACATTTTACACAATTTTAGGTGACATCATAGCCCAGTGATATCTTAAGAGTTGCTTATTTTTACTGTAGAGACAATGCCATTTTTACTTTTCAAGTTTGAGGAATCTTTCCACAACTTTCTTAGTTCAGTGGCTGAGCAGCTATTTGAGTTGCATGTTTATTTTACTGTTACGGATTTCAAATCAGTTGGGACACATGGCAATCAGAATGCAACATATATCTCTCCATATGATGGTACAGAAGAGTGCTTTTTTATCCTATTATATCTCTATCCATAAAAGGAGAAACAGTTTTATTGTAGCTGTCAGCCAGAAAAATTATCCATATTGCTAATGGGAGGAACAAATGATAACAGCCTCTTGGTTGATACAGATAGTGACAAAATTATATTAGCCTTGGCTCTAGCAGATTGAGAAACATTTCGTCTTGTAAATAGTCCAAGGACCTGAAGATCAGAGTACAATCACTTGGTTGTTGCCATTCCTGACTTAGCTTTCTGGTCCAATATACTGGAAAATTCCTTGCATTTAAATTTTCCATGTATGTTTGTTATACATCTGTATCTGTATCTATCTATCTACATATGAAATGCTCTTAAAATCATCTACTGGAAGTGTTTGGTGTTTTGAGCACCTCAGTGTCTAATACTCCTTCTGCTTGATCATGTTGTTAGGTTAGGACTTCTAAATGCAAATTTCCATGTTATCCTTATATATCATTCTAATCTCCTGTTTTTACAAATGATTAAAGTTCACATGAACAATTTATACCACCGAACCCTAATTATCAACATAGTTGGCCAACTGATTGCACTCCCATTACATACTCCCCTCATTCCCCCGGGATTAATTATCACCTCTCTGGTTGCTCAGCAAGGGCAGTGGAGACAGTGAAGGGAAGGGGAGTGGGGAGGGGGGGCAGGCGCAAAGTGAGGGTAGGGCTGGGCACAGCTGCAGCCACGGGAAGAGGAGAAAAACACACAACACATCTTCATGGGCCGCCCGTAAACGTTCCTAAACCCAGTGATCTTGGATTGTGTTTATTAAACAAAATAAACGAAAGATGTGGATTTAGCTTTCAACCCCCAAATTCTGTGTTCTAATTAGCTTGCTGAAGTTCAAGTAACATGACAAGACTACAACTTAGTACTTTCGTTAGTCTACAGAGGTGAATAAATGGACCATGTCTACACTCTGGGTGAAGGTCAGGGATGGAGAAGGGGACGGAGGAGGATGAGGCTGGATAGTAATCTTTCCTGCACAGCGCTTTCCGTTCTCCAGACCATGTCCCTGAGGAGATGTTCTCTAACTGGATCTTAGGAGAGCCCCCCTGGAGGAGCTACAGCATCTGTCACTGTTATCATTTTTTGGGAGAGATTTAGAACCATTTCATTCTGTGACTCTCAGCAGGGTCCATGGTTTGCAGTCTGTGTCCTCAGTTGCACCGTCAGCCATCAAGGGCAGGAGCTCCCACTTTTGCAGCGGCTCCACCCCAGGACTGAATGTTTCCTGCCTCATACAGACTTACATTCCATGCTTGTCGGACAGCAAAAGTTGAAGACAGGATTCAAGCTGAACTCTTCAAACCCTATCTTCTGCCTTGCAGGCTTGTCCTTGACACACATATATATATTTTTTCCCTGAGAGCCTAAATAATTTTCAGCATCATTTTATCATTTCTCATTTGTCATTTTCAGCCTCCCTCCCGAGAGCAGTCAGGATGTTATTTTTATTCAGCGTCTTCTCTTGTTTCTCCTCCATTTCAAATTGATGCTGGGAATGGAAGTTATACTGGAGTTTCAGTGCTAGAATTGGGTGAAGGATGACAGGATATTTTTTTTTCCTATATAAGAATCATTTATATCATTATAAAGAATGTAACATTTTGGAGGAAAAAAAGCTTTCGGGAGTAAATCACTCTTATTCTTTGCCTAATACAATTTATAAAAACGAAAACGCTTCCCTTTCTGGCAGCCTAAAACTGCCGACAGCCCACAATACAGGTGCTTAGAAATGTAAGACTCATTACTGCTATTTGCTTTTGCTTTCTGACACCCCGAATGCCAACTCTAGTAAGCACTGGTTATTCTGTCCGTCCAAAAACCCCACGGGCACTCAGCGGTGTGTTCAAAGTTAAGGCGTCAATTCCCTTTGAGAGGGACGTTTAACTGAACGAGTCCTGTGAGAAGGAATAGCCACACTGCCAATTAGGCGACCCTTCCGCCTCTCACCATGGTTAGAAAAGGTTCTGAACTTACATATCATCGAAGACAAGCTTCTGCCTCTTGCAGTCCCTGTGGCCGTTGGAGCCTGGAGACCACGGCTCTGTCTGTGGCCGTGGCTTGTGGAGGGGAACGTTTTCGGAGTTATGAGCTGCTTTCTAAACGACAAACGACACACGAGTCTTTGAGAAACAGGCCACGTAGCTGAACGAGCAACCCATTACGCAGAATACCTTTTGTTCTGTGCGATATCTTTGTGTTGTGTGTTTGAATTGGTGGTGGCTTTGTTTTAATAAAGAAATACATGTATTCTAGGGCTTGAGCTGAGGGATCGAAAGGAAGTCTTAGTATGCCTACTCTGCAGATCTGGAATCTGAGGTTTGCTGAGGCTACGTGACTTGACCAAAGCTCCAAGAGCTGCTGTGGGGGAGGCCCAGGGGTTAAGGGTTCAGGCCCCACTTTCCCAGTCCGATATACCAGTGGCTGGCCAGACTGCGCGTGCAGCGGAATCCTGTGGAGGGCTTGTTAAGACACAGATGGCTGGCTGAGCATGGTGGCTCATGCCTGTAATCCTAGCACTCTGGGAGGCCGAGAGGGGAGGATCGTTTGAGCTGAGGAGTTTGAGACCAGCCTGAGCAAGAGTGAGACCCCGTCTCTACTAAAAATAGAAAGAAATTGCCTGGACAACTAAACATATATAGAAAAAATTAGCTGGGCATGGGGGCGCATGGTTGTAGTCCCAGCTACTCGGGAGGCTGAGGTGGAAGGATCGCTTGAGCCCAGGAATTTGAGGTTGCTGTGAGCCAGGCTGATGCCACGGCACTCTACAACTGTCCCTCACAAAAGAGAAGTCATTCAGGTCACAAATGGACTGGTTCTTATTAGTCATCTGAGAAAAACAGAAAGAGTCAAAGGGAATCACCAGGAATTATTTAAAATAGGTTTAAAAAAAGAAACACATTCCTCTGTGGAAAAATGTAAAAAAATCACATTAACTAGGGATATAAATATTTACATAGCACCTATTGTGTGTTAAACACATGGATCATAAACAACTGTTTTTGGTTATGAAATGCAAATCAATTTCTCTGAAGTAATTAAAATTGAGTATATACAAGTGTTTCTATAAATACAGATTGATTTTATGTGTCGCATTTTAGGGGTTAGATTCTGCAGCTATATATTTGTAGTAAAATCAGATGCTACATTTTAAAACCGTTCTTCTTAAAATCCTTCAATGGTGTCCACCTGCTCTTGATAAAAGGAGCCACACCAGCAGAGTGGCCTCCACAGCCTGCACGTCTGGCCCTTGCCTATCTCTCTGCCACTCTCCCCTGCAGTCTCTGTGCCTCAGACTCAGGGGCCAGTTTCTAGTTTGTCCTCAGGAACTCTGCACATGCTATTTTATCTGCCTGCAATGCTCTTTACCTCTTACCGTACTGCTACTTGCCTTTTAGAGATCTCACATCAGGGGGCCAGCAACCTATGGCCCGTGGGTCAAACTTGGCCCTGTTTATAAATAAAGTTTTATTGGAAACTAGTCATGCCTATCTGTTTAGCTATTGTCAAAGGGCTGCTTTCCTGATACAATGGCAGTATTGAGTGTTGTGACAGAGATCGGACATTGTGCAGCCCACAAAGCCTTTAGCTATTTATTATCTGACCCTTCACAGCAGCAGTTCTCAACTGGGGGCAATTTGACAATGCATGGAGACATCTTTTGGTCACCACTGGGCATGAGCTACTACTAGCATCTAGCAGGTGGAGGCCAGTGATGCCGTGAAACATCCTACATTGTACAGGACACTCCCCGCCACAAAGAATTACTCAGTCCAAAATTTCAAGAGTGTTGAGAAACCCTGTTTCACAGAAAGTTTGCTGCTCCCCATACTAGATCAAGCTTCTGTTATGAGAGCTCCTAGTTCTCCGTGAGTTTCCTCTTAGCACTCAAACTGTTGGCAGTTAACTATGGATGTGTGTGATCCCCTGTCTAAGGCTCCCTCTCCAGCTAGGCTGTAAGCTTCATGTGGGCACAGAGGGACCATTACGTACAGTGCTCTGGTACTTAGCACGGTGCCTGGTACATACTAAGTACTTGCTGAATAAGCACCTGTTTGTTGAAAGAATGACTAAATAAAATCTGGAACTGGTTTATAATTCTCTGCACATCATAGTTGCTTGTGATATAAGGATCTAGAGACAAAGAACAATTTTGTTTTTTAAAAAATTTGAACTGGTAGCTTTTTAGTCCATATTTTTGTAATATGGTCTTCTCAGATTAGTTCAGGCTAGAATTAAAGATAATTGCTCCCAAATGAGGGTGCATAAAGATGGTTAAGTTCCTGAGGATGCGGTAAGACTTATTAGGCTCTTATAGGACCTCCTACTAATAATTTTTATATCTTTAATTCATGAGATATAGTGTTAAGTGCTACCCTGACCCTTGCATCTTCTTTGCAGAGTCCTGTTCTCAAGCCCCACCTCTCTCCCTGCCTCCCAAAGCCCAGCTGGGTTTGATGGGCACAGTGACCTGGGAGAACTAACAGGGAGAGTTTGGGATTAATTAATGCCCCCAAGAGGATGAGTGGCCCAGGTTACCAGCATTTAGAGATGAGCATGGCAGTGAAGACAAACTAACATGTAGTGTTAGTTACATAGGTGTCCATAGGTGTTGGGGTCTTTTTAGATGATGCCATCTCTTTCCCATCTTATCACCACTGTTTAGCAGATAAAGAAACAGACTCAGAGAGATTAAGAAAGTGGCCCAAGCTCACACTGCAACCAAGATGTGAGGCTGGACTGTGAACCCAAGTCCCCTGTTCTTCCCCAGGGGAGTGCTGGAAATGTCCCTGAGAAGATGTCTGGAAAGCGGTGGTGGCTGGTGGGGATCCCCCACTGTGGCTGCTACACTAGTCAACAAGGATGGAGTGGGGGCCTGGCAGATTTTGGTGTGGGGTTTCAATCCCAGATTTAACTCCGCCCTGGGATAAGGAATTTTTCCCTATGAAAAGGTTGGTGGTTCAAAACTCCTAATTTATTTTGACCCGGGATGGTATTACTTTGAGGTCTTGTCTTCTCAGAATGGGAAATAAAATCCTTCCAAGCCCTGGGTTTCTTATTCCTCAGCTCTCCATTGGGGTGGTGGTGGTGAAGAGGTGCTCTCCCCTGCCGGGTCTCCCTAGAAGCGGCATTTGGGGATTCTCGAAGGGCCTCATGCATGCATTTAGAGTGTGCCAGGCTACAGACAGAGGGTGGGGAGTGCTCAATTTCATTTTGATTTTAATGGGAAAAGGATGAGCATCAACAAACCGTGAGGTCTCCGGCATGAGACTGCAGCTGGTTGTCCGCTTTATGCTTTTTGTTAGAAGAGGTGGAAGTGAACAAGCTGTTGCCATTAGGTCGGCTGGAAGAAGTTAATTCCTCGCTGGAGTATTTGTGTTTAGAGGCATCGGAGAGGGGTGAGATGGGCGACCGGAGCATTTTTTCATTTTTATTTATTGGTATTGCCACGCTGAAAAAGGAAATTACAGTAATGGAATGCCACAGAGTCAGCACAGGGAAAAGTAAATGTTTTATATATGACCCGCACCTCCCATCCAAGACCTGCTGGTAGGAAGAAGTTTACTGGGAATTATCATACCAGCAAACTTTTCGGTATTAGGACCATAACAAATAATAACCAAATATCACTCATTATTTCTTTACTCTTTCTATCAGGATGAATAGTAATTCTGGAGTTAGCACCAAAATAAACAACTAAGAATAACTGTAATTTCATTTTCTGAGATATTTTCGTCTAAGGATCTCAAAATATCCAACAGGCAAACTTACTGTTTTCCTAACAAGCATAAGTAGCAAGTAATGGAAAAAGTCAATCAATAATGATAAAAGACAACAATTATTTCTAAAAGGATGTTTGCTACCATCTGAGCTTGTACTAATTATTATGTAGGAAATAATAGAATCACAGAATAATCTGGGATACGTGAAGCCAACTTTCAGTTGTTGAGTTTCTGAGTTAACCAGGCATTGATCAGAATAAATACAGAATATTAAAATTGTCACTAGAAGTTACAATTTCTGATTCCTAGCTCCTAATTGCCTATGCTTGAATATAACTTTCTCCAAAATCAACCATCAGAAAAGAGGGATGTACTTATATTTGATTTTGCAATGCATATTTTATTGTTAGGGCTCTATTACTTTATTTTTTTCGAAGTATTATTTGGGGATGACACATTAGCCTGAAATAAACTCAATCATTGCTAATTTAGCATGCTGACAGAGGTCACCTGATAGAGTCAGTTAAAAAAACTGGTAAAGGCATCTAACAATGATTTAGTCATTTCTCCTGGGGTTAAGGCCTCTTAATTGCACGTGTTGGTTATCACTACAAACAAGCCATTAAAGTCACTTCAAAAAGCAATTTTCCTTAGTTGGTGGTCACAGTGCAGAAATTACAAACAGAGGCCTTTAGAACAAGCAAGAAACTGAGATTTATAATATATGCAAATGGATACATGCGGGGATAGAATTTCTGCTGATAGATCTCTGGTTCCAAAAGCACTGTGTGTCTAACAACTCAGAAAGAAGTGAGAAGATGCGTTATAAAAAAAACTGCTTTGGGAAAATCAAAAGTGGCTCTTCTAGTGAAGGTGAAGACAATGATGTGCAAGATGATGTGAAGGGCTTGAATATAATTGTTTCTTGAAATGTGAGTGAAAAAAAGACCTTTTCTAAGTATTATTTTACATACTTCATGATTTTTACCAGGCATAGGAAACTAAGTTATGACATTAAATATGATCATGGACATGTGATGGCTCCTTCTTCATCACTGCAAGTTTATATATTCAAGTTGACAAAAGAAACTTTCTCTGAAGCACCTTGTTGGGACTGGCGAAGACCTTATCTCTGGGGTTGTTTTATTGCACTGGTAATACTTGATAGTAGTAATTGAAGTTCCAGAGATACACAGACCACCTTTCACAGAAAGAACTCTAAGGATTTTCATATGCCTTGTGTCATTACTTAACATAAATAAAACTATCAGAGCTGGGAGGCTCTGCCAGGCTAAGTCTCTAGAGCAAGAGTTTTTAACTTGGGGTCCATGAACTTGGAGGGAAAAAAGTTACATCTTCATTTTCACTAACCTATTTTCTAACTGAAATAGAACATTTCCTCCAATTAGGAGGGGAGGCATGAAACCAGAGTCATGGTTTAACAGGAGTAGTATTAGCAACACTTGTGATTGTGTCACCAGTAGACATGACAGGTATTTTCATCTCACTGCAGTTGTCATAGACATCTTGAGCTACTGCTTACATTACTTTGGGACCACATTTTCCCAATGTTTTGAGCTGCTCTCCACTCTGCATGGACTGTCTCCATGTGCAGCTCTCACTCCTGCACAGACCTTCAAGAGCCCTTGCCTTTCATTCCCAAGGTGACTCTGATGCCACAGCGGGCCTGCGTGTGTGTGCCCTTGCTCTCCAATTTCCTCGCCGAGTTTTAGCACTGCTCTACATCTTTTCCTAACCTTTCAGTTTACATTTTTATGTGTTGCACTGAAACATTCATCTCCCCTTAAACGTTCTCTGTATACAGTCCGTGAGAGTGAAGAGTGTCTTAGAGAGGGAAAGTGGTTTCTGTGCTGTGGTATTTCAAAATGGAAATAGCTGCTATGACTGATGATAAGCTCCTAGCTTATAATAAATACCTGGGACCTTGCCTTGCTAGAGAGCTATTTATCACAGAGGGAATTTAGCGTGAGGTGGGTCCATCTGGAACCCCTCCAGAGGAGTGACTGGGTGGCTGCTTAACCTTGGAGGCACAGATCCTGTCTAATGCCATAATTTTAATCTATATCCAAGAGTTTTAGGTGCATCACATGGAGATTCAGTTCAAAGTATATATTTCTTCATCTGTATAATAAGCTTAGTGTTCTTATGAGTTCAAATTCAGCTATGGCCAGGCGTGGTAGCTGACATTTGTACTCCTAGCACTCTGGGAGGCTGAGGAAGGAGGATTGCTTGAGATCAGGAGTTTGAGACCAGCCTAAGCAAGAATGAGACCTGTCTCTACTAAAAATAGAAAGAAATTATCTAAACAACTAAAAATATGTAGAAAAAATTAGCCGGGCATGGTGGTGCATGCCTGTAGTCCCAGCTATTCGGGAGGCTGAGGCAGAAGGATCACTTGAGCCTAGGAGTTTGAGCAAGGCTGACGCCACAGCACTCTTGCCTGGGCAACAGAGTGAAACTCTGTCTCCAAAAATAAAAAAAAGAAAATTCAGTTATTAAGTTTTTAGGGGGAAGGCTATGTCTCCGTGAGTGCAGAACTGTGCGTAACTAGTAACTGGTCTATGGTTACAGGAAGTACCTTGTACAGCTACCTGGAGCTGTGGCTCAAGACACATGTCCAACCACAATTATAAGCCTTAGGTTAAATTGAGGGAAGCAAGTCTGCAAAGCCAGACCAAAGCAGTCCTCAAAAATCTGACTCTGCCCCAACATGGCACGTGACTTTCAGATCCAAGAGCCCTCCAACTCACCTCCACCTTGGAGGGAACACACATACCTGCTGATGCTCATATTGCAGTGGTTTGCAGACAAAGAATTATTGGTGGAGGTGGCCAGGCGTGAAGAGCTCTCCTTTTCTCCCTGGGCCTTCTTGATCTCCCTGTAGTCGTCTTCGTTGTCACACTGCACAGGGATAAGCAAGAGTCGATCAGCTCTGGATTTCAAGGAGTCATCCTGAGTTCCTGGGCACCAACTTCCCTGAAGAGTGACCTGAGCAGCTGTGACCCTGGCCTAGGTTCCCAGTCAGTTCTTCGATGTAAGAGGGTGACACGACTGCTTTTACTAATGACAGCTTATTGACAGGAAAGGCACGATGCCATGATCAAAATTTGGGAGGGAACATCTGAATTACCAAAACGACTCTGCCATCAATAGGCCTAAGAATTAGCCCTTCAAAGCAGCCCTCTTCTGAATTCCCACTGTTGCTTGAGTCTCTCATCTTGGTATTTCTTGCAATCAGAATAAGGTGTAGCAAATGTGTATTTTTCGGGATTAATGCAGTAAGGTCAATGGCAAGCTTGGACCTTTCTGCTTTACAATTCTTGCCCTTCGTGAATTGCAAGTAGAGGTTGTTACCTTTTGGTGCCTTAATCCTAGTTCTCAATTACTATCCCATGGCATCTTAGAACCCTTAAAAGCACATTATTATAAAACAGTACCTTGGATTCTTATTGCCACGACTGTGTTTAACTTTTGATGGGTATTAGGGTACAACACAAATGCATTCAGAAAGTACTATTTTCTGTGAGCTAGCAGGAACCCACTACAGTATCTGCAGGGCTGTCTGCAGTGTTTTCCAGGAGACAAATGCCAGCACCAGAGACGTAAAGAATCTGAACTTGTCTAGCTAGGATCTTGTCACATAGCGTCTCCCACAGGGGGTCCCAGATGGTTATACTGTAAGAGTGGAGTGCCCCTGTAGAGGGATCAAAGCAAAGCCCTGAGTCCTCAGCTTCAGGGCTCTAGCAAGGTGAGACTTGGCACCTTTGATAGCCAGGTCTATGGGGTCCCACCTCCAGCACCCCGGCTAATTTTATATATATTATCAGTTGGCCAATTAATTTATTTCTATTTATAGTAGAGACGGGGTCTCGCTCTTGCTCAGGCTGTTTTGAACTCCTGACCTGTGGCAAACTCCCGCCTCGGCCTCCCAAGAGCTAGGATTACAGGCGTGAGCCACAGCGCCCCGGTTGTTTAAAAACAGAACACCAACACATGAAAAAAGAGACCTTTAAAGAGGCAGCACGGTAAAGGGTGGCTTGACACTGTAATCCAAAAAAGGCACGCAGGGGAGGAATAAAAGACAAATCACAGGATAATGAGACAAACAACCAAAGAAGAAGAAAACAACAGAAAAAAAAAATTAAGGCAACACTAAAAATATAAGAAAGGAGCGGCAGGCAGCGAGGAGGAAAAAAAAAATATATATACGAAAAAATTAGACCGCGGCACACA